GACCATAATTAACACCTTTTTTTCCACTTTTTTATAATTTTACTACATTTGTTGGATTTTCTGGTTTTGTGGTTTAACCACAAACTTTATCCTGAACAGAGACTTCAACTGTAAGGAGAGGACTTTCTGAAACGCTGCCATCCTTTGTGGCCATGCTACTCTGCACCTCAATGGTGGGCACACAGCACATGGGGTTCCCATGAATAGACCAGGCCTCACCAAAGACCACATCATTTGGATAAAGATGGGGTCCCACAGAAAGAGAAAACGCCTCACGGAGCGAATCAGATAAAGAGAAAATGTTGCGTACGGCAAATCAGATTAGAGCGGGTCAGAGCTTTAGTTTTTCGTTTGCAGGCCCTCCCACGTCCACCCGCCTGCATCGAACTCTGTGAAATTTACTACCGCTTCTGCTCATGTGTCTGATAATAATGTGCTCCACTGCTGTGCTGAGTTATCATCTCAGGCTTTTGTCTTCTTTGATCCGTGTGACCGTTGGGGGATTCACTTCTTCTTTTGTACAAGGTCACATCGCTGGCTCCCTTTGGACGGGCCTGCCCCCGGGTGGTGACCCCTTCGTTCATCATGGTGTCACCGGCACAGAGGACAAGCATGAGTTAAAGCTTTCTGTTTCTTTTCTCTTCTTTTTTTTTTTCTCTTCGCCTTTCCCGCTCATTCCTGTGTGATGGGCTCACAATCCTTTTAGTTTTTTTTGTTCATCCTCCATTATGAAAGTAAAGCTCAACAAGTGGAGAAAAGATTTTTTTGGGTGGACCAACACCAATCAGTCTCTGGCCTTAGTGGACTGAAGCCTACTTTAAGTAGGCTATGCACCCGAGTGTCCAAGCGTGCACACTTACGGATGACCAAGAAAAGGATGGAGGTCCGGAGCTGATTGTCCAAACGCAATTCTTGCATGTGCTTTTGTGAAACCAGGAGTTGTGGATGGACATCACGCCCCTGACCTCTGAAAATCAGCGAGGGAGAAACCACCTTTGATGGGCTCTATGGACCCGCGGCTTTGCGGGTGGACGAGTGAAAGACACTGAAAGACAAACAGAGAAAGGAGCAGAGTGTGTGTTTATGTAAATGTAAAGCCCGTAAGAACCTCTCTTGACATTTTTTTGGAGGTCAGCTTAACTTTTTTCCCCCCCGCGGGAGCATTATTTAGAAAACTGCTCAAAGGTTTCACTTGTGACAAATGACAAGCTCTTAAATTGTAAATATTTCAGTCAATTTAGGTGTGCAGTGAAGAGAAGCTGGTGAATAATTAATATCATCACTGATTTGAAAAGGCACCAAACAGAGGCAGCAGGTGGAAAGCAGCCAAAGGGATAGTAAAGAGAAAGAACTTCATCTTGAATTAATCTGGCCATTTACAAAACGCAAATAATGTGCACAATTGCTAAATAATGCAAACTTTCTCAGAGATGTGGTTAAATCAATGCCAGTTGGCTGCCGGTGACATTTGGTTTCACTAATATGTATTTTTCTCTCTGCACAGGTGCAAAGTCTAAATGCTTGGAGATGCCTGGCAGTGCAGATCAGGAGGGTCCCGTTTTGGAAAGGAGGTAAGAGTCTGTCTGTGGAGCAGAAAAGACTGAATAGCTCTCACCGCGTTAAGTACAGTTGAATGTGTCCGGTTCGCACTTCAGCACCAGAGTCTAGAGAGGGTCCTGCTAAATTTGCACTGGAAGGGGTGAGAGTGACAGAAAAGTAGAATGAATGAGGGGAGGGAGTTTGTGTGTGTTACTCTGTGTGTGCATATATGTGAGTGTGTGTGTGTGTAGTCTCCTCCTCTGTGTTTGCCCCTGTGAGTTTGCTTCTGTGTGTTTCTCTCTGTTTGACAAAGTTCGAGGGGCCAGGCTTGGAGAAAGAAGAGGGAAAATGAGTGAAAGTAAAGGATTTGAATGAGGTGGAGGGTGAGAGGGAGCAAGCTGGGGAGTGGGGTGAAAAAAGAAGGCAGGGATCTGACGGAGAGAGGGAGGGAGAGAAGGGCAAGAGGACAGTTTTTGGAGGGAAAGGAAGAGCAGGCACCTTGAGATCTCTGTGGCAAGTTTGCTCGCTGCTTCACAGCACGAGTGGCGTAAATTGGTAAGATTTATAGATTGAAGCTGCAGGAAGCGACGACTCGGTCTGGAAATATGTATGGAGAAAGAGAGAGGGAGAGGGAGAGGCTGAGCGGGAGAGAGAGAGGGCGGGAGGGAGATCAAGAGCGAGGCTGCATTAATATGCTAATGGCCTGAGTGAATACACAACAGGCCCACTGACCAGGCTAATCACTGGTGGACACACACTGAGGCTAATCCCTCACGCAGCACTTACACACATGTGGTCACACGCATGCAGTTGCTCATGCAGTTGTACTGTACAGTGCAGGTTAAAATACTGGGACAGTTCGTTTGCAGTGATTTGTCTTTGTGTTGTAGCACAGGTTTGAAAGACTGAGCGTGAGGTCAAAGTTCAGGCTTTTATGAGTAATTTCAGGATCTTTTCTACCAGGTTGAATGCTCAGTGACAAAACACGAAATTCTGACTGCATTTAAACTGGAAATGGATTTCTTTTATTGCAGACTGAATGCACAGTCCAAACACAAAAACTGATGAATGTGAAGAGGACTGTGGGACGTAGACGAAGCAGCTGAGTGCAGATGTTTTCCAGCTGGTGTTGTAAGTAGATTGACGTGATTTAATTTCATACTATCAGTATTAAATTTCAGATTACAGAGATATATTCGAAACATAATGTGTCACTGTGTTAGCAGACAAAAAAGGAAATCTCCTGAACCACTGAAATGCAGCTGTTGCTCTTATGCGTCTCCTCTGTGTTTTATCTTTGATATCACTGCCATGTGTGTAATTGTATTAAGAGTACCAATAATAAAACTACAATTTAAAAATTTGTCTTTGTGTTTCGATGTGTTTCTTCTTCTGGAGTTGTGTGGTAAACTCTTGAGTTAAGTCTACATGTTATTGTATCAACTAATGAAGTTATTTTTCCTGTTGAAAACTGACAAATATATTACAATTTATTTTCACACATAAGTAAGGATAACAGGTTTTGCTGGTTGTTGGTTTTGTCTCATTATTTAAATCGCTAAAATTATTTATAATGTTTATGAAGTTAATTTAACTTACAGACAGTAGAAAAGTTCCACAAAGTTTATGAGATAATGTGGCAAAACACATTATTCTCTTAAAAGTATTCAACTGGAAAACAGTATCTGTCAGTGTTGTGATAAAATCTGGAGCATAGTTATCACATCATGCGTTTTGTTGTCATGTCATACCATTTTAGTCCCCTTGAGGGTGACAAAGCACCGACAAACTTAAAGAATTCAGCCACAGCAGATGGAAGGAAGAACCTGCTAAATCGTGAATCATGAGTTTTCCATTAGTTGTTTTTGAAACACAGTTTGGGAACACAGGAGCAGGCTTTTGTATAACACTGCTGTATAACACTGGGTTTGATCTCACTGCTTTCTGATCTCTGCATTAATAAAAACGGAAATTGTAAAAATGGAGGCAAAACAATCGGATCACACAGTTTAAGCCAGTTTAAACAGGGACTGATTCTCAGTACATTTCCATATAAATGTACAATCCCCACTGACATCAGGTTAAACCGATGATGTGAAAGGTGAATTAAGAGTGTGTACTTTATATCCCTTCATGCTAAACAGACTTTGCTGATTACTTTTATAATCCTCGTTAGTCATGTATTAAATACTATTCCAGTTCGATGCCTGTTCTCACCCATTGCAATCATTGCATTCTGATTTTATTCACATTAAGTACATAATGTTCCAACTTTTTTGCACTAGGGTTTGTAAATTTGTAACATTCACACACATTCTGGCTCTAATATTTCAAAATGTAACGGATTATTTCTTATATTTTATGTCAAAATGTAAGCAATGTCAAAACTGCAGTTCATTAATGGTATAATTAATTAATCTAGGTAAAAATGCACAGGCTGGCAGACCACATGAAAGCAAGAAAAGCATGACAGGGAACGTTTTTCATTCATTCTAAACTAATAAATCTGAACTCAGCCAGTTCAGCCAGCTTGTAATGTCGATACAGCTCAGACACAAAAACTAAAAACTAAGTAAAGCTAACTAAACTAAGCTGTTACCTTGATAAACATTCCCGAAAGACTAATGTATGACAGATATATAAGCATTAATTTTGGCAAAAGCAACAAAAACTGTGACAATTGTGAGTGCCGGCATCTCTTCACTGGTGGATTTCTTCCATCAAGAAGAAATTTTGCATTTAACTAGTGTTAATGTATGAATAGAGGCATCTACGCTTGAGTCACCTTAGCACTGTGAAATCATTACAAATGATGTGACTTCTCCTTAGATCTCATTGCTGTTTCTTTTATGTTTATATAAACTGATTGTAGATGCTTCATCAAGTTTTAAATTATTTCCCTTTTACATAAAGCAACAGACTTTTCCAACATCCCTTTTTAAAAGGAAAATGGGGAAAAAAGATCATCAATAACAGAAAACAAATCTGCTTGAACATTCTATGTTGTTGCCAATGCAGCTGTTGAGAATATAAACTATTAATAACTTCCACAGCTGATATATTTACAAAGAATAAAAAGTACATTTGTGGTAAACACAGCTGAATTTGCATTGTATTGGGACATGCATGGCTTTTTCTTGATAACACCACAAAGAAAAATCTTTTCTTTTTTACCTTTGCAGGTGCAAAGCAGCCACTAACATGTTTCTTTTTCAACCATCAGTCTCTTCTGTATGCCTTACATATCTGCCCCTCCTGCAATAACAAAAGAATATTTTTGAATAATTAGGTAGTTAAGTGTTTTGAATACTGAATCTAAAAAGACCACAAAGGCTATAAAGGATTATTGTGATTAGCATTGATTTCTCAGTGTCTCCCAGTAACCTTTTCATCTATGCAGCTGACACTGAGCCGAACTAGTCTTGACCTCTTGACCCTCTCGCTGGATGTTGTCTCCCTCACTCAGTGACATGTGGGGCACAACACTCCGCACAGTCCACGTCCTGCTTTAAGAAGCGAGGGAAGCCAGCGTTGAGCTGTGAGAGAGCACTAAGCCAAATCCTCCACCATCATCATCATGTTTTCATCCTTGCAGGGGGAGGGAGGGTTGACTACGAGGCAAAGTGGGGGGAGAGACAGACACACACGAGGCCTAGTCGCCACATCTTTTCATGCGGAGAAGCTGAGCCGCTAAACCGTTAGTAACTTCCATTTATTTGCACGAAATATTTACTTAAAATATTCAGCATGCTTTTAAAAAGATTGCATAGTTAGGGGAAGAAGGACTGAGTGATAGGGTGGCTTGTTCTCGGTAGTTTCGCTCTCCTTCGAAGCTTTCGTGGTAACTAGCATGCTAGCCAAGTTACGTAGCTAAGTGTAGTTAGCTTTAGCGATAGGCTTGTTTTGCCAACTTAAACTATGCTTTTCACGCAATTTATTACCAGAGCTTGTTAGCTTTAACGGAAGTGTTAATCGGTCTAATGCCACTTGATTTTGATGTAATACAAGCCACTCTGCTTCTCGGTAGTCACAGACATTGCAAGTTAGCTAGGTTAGTTTACGAGCTTTGGCTAACGTTGGCTAGCATGGAGAAACGATGGGTTGTTGCCATCTGTCTGGGCTCCATCTCATTTGGTTTGGGGTGTTTTATTCACCTTGTTGAACCCAGGTAAGATGAGCAGTGTTTTGGTATCAGCATGCTGCTTATTTGCGGAGTATAACACGGGTGTTTTGATCTGTACTGTAAAAGACAATCTTGGCATCAGCTGAGCAGCTGGCTGCTTTAAAACGTCCAGCTGTAACGTTACGTAAAATCACCCAAAATGTATCAAATACGCAAATATTTCTAATGCTAAGCACAGGTAGAATTCACAGCCGTGTAAAGATAGGAGCCACGATAGTTTTGTTTTGCATCTTTATGCCCAAATGGACCCTCTGTGTCACACTCCTGTTTTATACGGTGCTCTTTCTTCTGTTGGAATTTCAGAGCCGTTTTTGGGTTCCCAAAAAAACTCCGGCCCGGGCCTCAGTCCGCGGTCTAGAGTTTGATATCGGGCTGTTAGAGACGGAAGCACGTCGGCTTGTAGCTGTCAGTCAGCCCCTGTGCCCCAACCACCATCATGGGAGACAGCAGAGGTAAGCAAAAGGAAGAACTAATGTGCAAAGATTAATCTTTCAGCACTGCAGACAGGATTATTGTCTAGATGACTTGCATCTGGAAACTAGTGTTAATAATAGATCAATGTTACATTATTATCTGTTGTAAAATCGTAGCTATGAAATATATGTGGTATGAAGGAACAGAAACTAAAACAAGACTTGCTTAAACATCACAGTGCTAAAGCTTAAACAGATGTGTGTGTGAATGTGTGTGTGTATGGGTGGATGACTGGATGTGTAAAGCGCTTTGGGGTCCTCAGGGCTATGCAAATACAGGCCATTTACCATTCATGTGTTACATCTGACACAGCTGACCAGGTAGACGTTTTGTTTTTTTTTAATAAATCAGTGTGTGGTGTCCAAAATATCATCTGCCATTCTTCTAAAAGTAAGTAGGTTTTAATAATTGTTTTACTGTTAAAAATAAAATCTCTCATTTGATTGAATCGGTGTTCAACTTGCCGGTTCTAATGTAGGAATAGAATTAAACAATGCACTATAAAAACATGTCAAAGCTAAAAAAATAAATTATGTATATAATTCACTGTGAGGCAATCATAAAGTTGTTACTGTGCTAAAAAGAAGGCGCTCTTCACTCTTTGATTCTGTTTTTCATTAACCTCGATCCAAAACGTTTCAGGCTATCAGCACTTTGAACCTTTATTCCCAAGCCAGGAAAGTAATAACAACTCATGCCAATGATGGGGATCTATTTATTTATTTTCCCCTGAAATACACGAACAGCTGAAAGTATGCACCACTTAAAATTAAACACACACACAAATCTGAGTAATATACGGCACAATTCGTTGACTTTGTTGATTTGTTTTTGAAATAACTGTTTTCTTCTCGGCCTGCAGTAGATGATTTGTGAGACAACGTGATTCCTTGATTTTTGTTCCTGGGG